AAAAATTGATTTTGTGATTTTTTTTTTCTGTAATGGATTTTTTTTTTTCCGGTAGAAATGTAAACAAAATTTTACAGAAAAAATAAAAAGAACTTTGCTGAATTGGATATCCTTGCTGTTGTTGGAACTTGAAAGAAAATTCTGTAACTAGGTTTTTCAGAAAAGTTATAGCTCCCAGCTGATGGAAGTTAGGGCCTCAGCAAATGTTTATTGAGTTTATTGAACAGAGAGATACTAATTAACGTTGCCCCGCACAGCCAGTGCCCAGTATGGATTTACGTGAAATGTTCTTTTCTGCGAGAAGTATGCCTGCCTCCTGCCATACTTAACCTCAATCAGACCTTCATGCCGTGGTCTCATTAATATCAGATACTCAGGACACGCATATTGAAAGAATGGTTTTGGCACACAGCAGGTTAAACCACCTGTGGTCACCGTTTTGGACTTCGGAACCAGTCCACAGCAGCCTCTTTCTGTGATGGAAGCCTGTACATGTCCCCGTGCTGTGAAGGGGTGGCCCTCAGCAAGCAAAGAGGAGTTTTTGTTCCTGGTCCCGGAGGAGCCAGAAACACATACACGGAACCATCAGAGTCTGTCCAGGAACTTGGGAACAGGTTACAGTCTGCCATTTTTCATGGTGTGTCCAGGCAGGGAGAAATCAGCCTGTGGTTTTAGAATTAAGTGCTGTATTAGTGTTGCTATAGGATGTGCCATATGCAGGTGTTTTTGTAAAGCATAACTGCACGTGAACGGTGAGTTCAGTGTCACTGGTATTTGGAGAAGTGAGGCAGAACGAAGTTCAAGTTCAGTTTGTCTTTTCTAGGCAGAGTCCTGTTTTTACCAGTGGAACCGCCTTCCAGATGATTCATGACTTTTGGCACAATTTCTTCCTCTTTTAACATTTTGTCATTTTCTTTGTAGTCAGCAGTTTACATTTCAATAATTACCACTTGTATATTTTTTATAATACCCTTGGGATGTAGGTTCCATTTCATTTTTATGATTTTTCAGATAATTAGAAGCAACTGTATGTCTAACCATTTAAATAGCTTCTCATACTAAATTTGAACAAGTTGAAACCATAGCATAATTTTGGTATTTAAGGTTGATGAAAGAAGCTCTTTATGTAGGAGAAAAAAGATAGGAAGCTAAAAATTTGGGGAGAGAATAAAGCTAACCTTAAGGAAGTAAGCACAGACCAAAAAAAAAAAAAAAAAAAAAAAAAAGACTAGGAGGAGTGGTAATCATTTTGGAATTGATAGGGGATGGAGAAAAAAATCAATGTTTTTTTTTGAAGGGGAAACAAACAAAACATTACTACTCCTCATGTCAATATTCTGCATCCATTTCAAATATTTTAAATTGAATAATTGTAGAGGACACAAGCTTTATAGGCTAATGCCTTAATTTTTCTTTTAGTATTCCCAATTAATTTATAGGAAGAAGGAAGAATATATACACTTAGAATGATAATTCTAGGGTTATATGGAGATTTTGAAACAAATCTCTGAACTTCATTTAGTAATTTGAAAGGTCTATTGTTATTTATAAAACTATCATTTCCTACTGGAAAATTTTGAGTCTGATTCTTTCCCAGCTTCCATGGGAAAAAGTAGGGATTTATTCATTAAGTTTTAAAATCACCAACAATCATGCCTGGCCTTTCCATAATCTTCCCTTATTTTTCTTTGTCAATCCCAGATTCCACTCTCACTGGGTAACAGGTTGCTATTAGAAAGAACACTTTTTAAAATATTTTAGTTGGCTATATGCAACTGGACTTTAGTTGTTTTATATGGAAATAAAATGTTTAACTTAATTACCTGAAGAAGCTTCTTTGATAGAGTTACTATTCCGTGCTAGTGTAGGGGGTTTCTACTGCCAGAACAGTGTGATTTCAAAAGTATACACAACTCAGTGTGTTTCTCTTGCTACAGTGTTAAGCGGCAATGTCCGCAGTGTTTTCAGTTTCTGTATATTCTTATGTAGATATGTTGGTTGTTGGTTGTTGGCGCCAGCGAAGGAAGGAAAATAAACATTTTACCACCTTAAAGAGGGATACATATTGCTGGGTTTGAGTGACAACTATTCACTCACTTGATTTCAGAGTGCTAAATTTATATGCTCAGTCCGTTCACATCGAATCCATGAGATTGTATCTAAATGGTCTGACATGAATTACTTTTTTATTTCGGAAAAAGGTTGAGGAGGAAAAAATAATCTAGGTAAGTGATAGGGTAGAGGCTGAACCTCAAAGTTCCCTGCAAGATACAATGACGGCTGCGGGTCCTCAGGCTTTGAAAGCGGGCTCATCGCAGTTACAAAGACAGCAGGTTGGAAGTCCTTCCAGATCAATAACTTCTGCGTAGTGCCATTTTATAAAGAGGAGATGGCTCTTCTAGTTTCCTTTTTCCCTGTTTCAGAAAGTTTATTACAGAGGAATGTTCGTAAGAAAGGTAGAGAGATTGTTCCATTTATATGCATTTTTTTCAGATGTGTTGATCTTTGGTCTCTGACCTAAGGGCCCCCTGGCCTCCCCCAAAAATCAGCACAGCAGAATGACGGCCGAGCCATTGGCGTCCTCTGCGGCTTTGCCGCCAGGAATCCAATAGCGCTGCTTGTCCTCCCATGCGCAGATCAATAGACCAGGTCTGCACGCGGTGGAGTCTCTGGGGAACGTGATGAGAGAGGCCTTCAGCTCTGGAGCAAGTGTATCGCAGGAAGGAGGCAGGTCAAGAGAAAAGAAAATAGTGGCAAGAGAGAGGGGTAAAGGGGCGAGACCAGAGCAGAGCAATGTTGGAAAGGATGAGCTGCTTTCTCGTTGGAACTTGGAGTTTTACGCTGATTCAGCAACGGGCTGTATGGAATGAAAAAGGACTCTTTTTCCATCAGTGATGCATGTCACCTGATTTAAAGGATACTCAGGATGAGTATAAATTATTAAGAGAGGCATTCTTTTAAGAAATATAGTAGCAATTTTGCTCATTAGAAGGAATTTTATTTCCTGCAAAATTTCAGTTGCATGGAGCATGTTGATAGTTATAGGTAAAAGCACAAGTAGACACAAATGGATAAAAAGTAAGTCAGAACTAATGAGGAAGTGGTAGTTGTCCAAGAAAATCTGAATATTTTTATTATCAGAAGCTAAATTTGATGATGAAAATAATAAATGTTTAACATACAAATTTAGGCAATGCAAATATATAGAAAAAGAGAGGCGAGGAGATAGATGACAAGTTAACAAATAATAGATAAATTACAAGTTAAGGCTCATGACATAGTTCGATCCACTTGCTCAGAGAGTTGAAGCAACTACAAAAAGGTCAGAATGATGGAAAACAGTAGCAAGTGTGAGATTGGAGAGCTCTGGGGGCCAGAAAATACGTGGTTTGTTGTAGACTGTGGCCAGGAGTTCAGAGTTCATTCTGCGTGCAATAGGAAGGGTCATAAGTAGGAGAATATTATTAATTTATATATTCATTTTTAAAGTATTTAAAACATTTTTTCAATTACAGTTGCCATACAATATTCTGTTAGTTTCAGGCCTACGACCCAGCGATCAGATGTTTATAGAATTTACAAAGTGATGGGGTTTCATGTTAAATGAACAATAGCAGCCTAATGGAAATTGAGAAGTCAGCTCTTTCTCTACCGAGGCTTTTATAGCGTGTAGGTTGGATAAACACTCCACTGAGAAGAGCCGTCGAGTGTTGTTTTTGGGAAAGACAACAAAGCCTTCTGTTTGTGTAAGGGAGCCACCTCAGAACATCTGGTAGGGAAGCGCTCCAAGAAAGACGTGGGGTTGAAGTCACCCCTCCCCAGCTCCTGGGGCGCGAGGACGCAAGCCAGGAGGACATGTGGCAACTCGAACATGTGCCCGCAGCTGCAGCAGCCACACTGGGGTGAAGGGCGCCATGTTTTTCTTCCCTTCTGCCTCCCATTGATTGGATGGATAAGAATATGTCAGAGAAGGGATTTGGGAGGACTCCATTATACTGTTTGCCAGAACATTTCATGAAGATACTGGGTCTTCTCTAGGTAACTTGAACATTGAGACCTCGATGTCGTTCATCCTGCCTCTTCTGCTAGTTCCCCCTTTACCGTGGGCCAACGTTAGAATAAAAAGTCTTGCAGTCTCATTAGCCCTGACTTCAGTCTGTGAATGTGCCACAGATATCACGCTTATGAGTAAGCTCTGGCAGGAGGGAGCGGCCTCACCTCTAAATGAAAAGGTGACTGTGAGGGGGTCCGTTTGGGGCATTATTAATGCAATTAGGCCTGGGTGCATTTGAAGCTGCCACTCTCAGAAATGACATGTTGCACTACGGCCTTCATTGCACATTCAAAGGAATGCAAAGACCAGGGGTGCGTCTGGATTTCAGGTATTGTTGATGCTATTGGCTTAGACATGTTCCCTTTCCTGGGTCTGTTTTGCAAGCCTGAATTGGAGCCTGAAGAATTTCTCCCTATAAATGTCTTAAGTGTTGCTCTGGCCCATCCATCACGGTTTTGCTTTTGAATTACAAAGATAACCCTAAGATATGAGCCTTAGACTGGGCAGCGCGATACACACACACAAAGGGTGCGCCGCCTCTGTGATGAAATCAGGCAGTGCCCAAGAGGAAAGTAATAGGCAGAAAGGATAGAGTTGATGAAAAAATTGATTCTTTTCCATTAAACCATACGTGATGTGTTTTTTATGAAGCAGGCATCAGCTGAAAGAGAAATATTTTCTCAACGAAAAATAGATGGATGGCAAGGGAGAGGGATCAGGGGGATGAACGTGTGTCTTATTGCATTAGCATCTCCAATTATGAGCAAGTTGAAACACATTCCATTGTAGTTACTTCAAATGTTGACTTGGACCTGAGGCTAGCAAAACTTTTTAATGTTAATAATGGCTGTTTTTTTGTTTTTTGTTTTTGTTTTTTTTTAAAGCACGTTTGGACTTCACACATCATTCTCGTCTCCATTCTTAAAGTCGTATTGTTTTTTTCCAGGTTTACCAAGGATGCAGGTCATCAGGGACTATGCTGGGATGCCACCACCTGCTCTTCATGAAGGGCCCCCGTTGCACCTCCAGGCGGGGGACACAGTTGAACTTCTGCGGGGAGATGCGCACAGTCTGTTTTGGCAGGTATGACAGTCTTGTAGGCTTACCGAATGACCTGCCACCACTTGAAGAACGAAGCCCTTGGCTTTAGAAACCGACTGCATGCTTTCAGCCTCAGAAATATTACATGACATGGGAAGAAATATTTTTTATTAGCCTTCCTTATATTTACCAATGTCAAGGCGGCAATGAGTGTTAGGGCACTGGAGAAAACTAGTATCTGTGTTGTGAATCATAATTACCATTGTTTTTACTAAAAATTCCTATTTTGCAAGAGTGAGTGAGAATTTGATGTTTGCTGGTGGTGAAATCTCTTTTGTCCAGTAAGCCTATGTGGGGTCAAAGGATTTCCTTAACTTGGAAATGTGGCATTATGTTAAGGTTTGGTAAAGCTGGATGGTAGAACATCGCTGCTCGTTGAATTATTCTCTATATTCATGTGTATTGTTGAAATATTTTCCAGCAAAGTTAAAAGAGTTTGTTAAAAGTCTATAGCCCATGAGTGAAATTTGGTTGGGGGGAAAGAGATAGCAGAAGAGGACTGTTGGATGATAATCCACTGTGCACAAGTGTAAGCTTGTAAACTTTTATTGTGTGCCATCTGGATACAGAAGAGTGCTCCTAGATTGAAAGGTTATCTCCGACTCCATTTCAGTCACTGTGGCCAGTGACTGTTCCACAGCTCCACCTAAGCGTCCTATTCTTCTCATACCTCACCCTTCCCCAGAAAAGAGAGAGAGAATGACAGATTGAAATTCCACGAGCCCTCCAGCCAGTCCTTGCACCTCCCAGTCCAACCACAAAACACACCTGCGTTTGTGTCCCTAACATTCCTCTTATTCAGGGCTTACCTGTCTTCTTGGATTTTCCATGCCCTACTCCATCAGCTGGCTCTGGACCCCTACATTTTCAACTCCTTCTCGCCATTGGCTCCACCCCTCTGAAAACATGCGACTCAGCCCTTTGGGTAGGTCTGTCTCCGCCCCGCTGGCTGCCGAAGCGCGCCTTCTTGGGAGCGCAGTCTCCCCTCGCTCTCTGCTTCCTTACACTCTATGCATAGTGCAGTCTTCTGCAGAAATGATCCCCACTCAGATCACTTTAAAATGACAGCTTTGAGACACATAATAAACTGTCCATGTTTAAAGTGTACATTTTGATGCTTTGACAAGTTTATGTACAAGTGAAATCGTCACTACAACCAAGATGACAAAAGTCAGCCCCGGCCACGTGACTCGGTTGGCGCGTCATCGTTGTGGGATTGATCCCTGGTCAGGGCACATGCCCAGGTTGCAGGTTCCATCCCACAAGAGCATTTTCCCCCCAACCCAGGACCTGTGAGTATGTTCTAATTTGCATGGCTTCCCTATATTAATGGTTCACTTAAGGGGAGCTACCTCATTAGCTTGCCAGTGGCAGGCAACTGATCGATGTTTCTCCCTCTCTCCCTCCTGTTCTGCCTCCCTCCCTCCCTCTCTAGAATCAATAAAAAACATATCCTCTGGTGGGGATATTTTTTTTCAAGATGACAAAGTCAGCCCCCAGAGTTTTTGTAGGCCCCTCTTGTCCTTTCTGTCCCTGTCGATTTTCCCTCTCCAACCCCCAGGCTACGCCTGTTCTACTTTCATGCTATAGGTGAGTTTGCATTTTTTAGAATTTTATATAGTTCATCATATCATATGTAGTTTTTTTAGTATGACTTCTTTTACCCAACATAATACTCTTGAGATTTAACCATGCTACTGTATGATTAGAAAGATTCTTTCTAATCTTTCTAAATCAGTTGAGGTATGATTGACATAGAAGAAGGTGTACGTGTATAACGCACGCAACTTGATGAGACTGGAGGTTAGTATACATCCTGGAAACCATCCCCACAGTCTTTGCCAAAACCACATCCATCACCTTCAGCAGGTCCCTCCCACCTTCTTTAATTTTTTTTTTCTTTTTTTGGTGTGTGTGGTAAGAATGCTTCACACAAAATGCAAGGTCTTAGCAAATTTTTAAGTCTATAATACAAGGTTAGTCGCTCTGGACTCTGTGCTGCACAGTAGGCCTCTAGGACTTACTCATCTCCCAGGGACCGGAACACGGTGCCCTCCAACTACTAGCTCCGGTCTCCCCGCTTCTCCAGCCCCTGGCAGCTACTGCTCCGTCCTCTGTGTCTATGAGTTGGACTCTTTTAGGTTCCTTGTGTTAGTATAGCCACGGCATGGAAGAGGCCTAAGTGTCCGTCAGTGCACAAGGAGAGAAGGACAATGTGGTGTATGCATTCAATGAGATATTATTCAAACTTGCAAAAGGAAATCCTGGCGTTTGTACGCATATGGAAGAACTTGTAGAACATTGTGCTAAGTGAAATAAGTGCCTTATTTTCATTGCTGATTATTATTCTACATATCGGTGTAGCACAGTTTATTTATTTATTAGCCTGTTGATGGACTTTGGGGTCATCACCAGTTTGGGGCTATTGCAAAGAAAGCTTCTATGATCATTCAAGTATAAGACTTTGCATGGATAAGAGCTTTCATTTTTCTTTGGTGAATACTGAGAAGTGGATCATATGTAGATATATGTTTAACTTTTTGAGAGACAACTGGACTATTTTCCTAGGAGACCTTACTCTGTTACCTTTCTACCAGCCGTATGTGACCATTCCAGGAGCTCCTTGTCCTTGTCAACACTGGGTGTGGTCAGTCTTCTTAATTTTATCTGTTCTAACAGGCGAATAGTGGTATCGCATTATAGTTTTGATTTGCATTTCCCTGATGACTAATGACAGGGAGCATCTTTTCTTGGGCTTATTTACCATCATATGCTGTCCCTATAGATGCCCACAGAGTTTTTTATATGGGCAACCATGTTATCAAGGAATAAATACAGTTTTCCTTCTTGCAATTGACCTGCCTTCTATGTCTTTTTGCGGCATGGTTACAATGGCTAGAACCTCCAGTAAAATGTTGCACAGAAATGGAAAAAGTAAAGCATCCTTGCTTTACTCCTGACCTCAGGAGGAAAGCCTGAAGTCCTCTCCCCACTAGGTATGATGTCATCTGTAGTCTTTCATGAAAGCTTTTTACCAAGTTGAGGACAATCTCCCATCCTACTTTGCTGAGAGTTTTTATCAGAAACACATATTGGATTTTGTCAAATGTTCTTTCCTAACCTATTGAAATTATTTCATTTTTCTGTTTTAGTTTATCCATATGATGAACTACATTGATTGATTTTCAGATGTTAAACCAACCTTCCTTCCCCAAAATAAATTTTAATTGCGAATGATATATTGTCCTTTTTGTATATTGTCATCTTATTTTCTTGTAATGGGTTTGGGTAATAGTTGAACAAAGAATGAACTGGGAACTATTTCCTTCTCTTAAATTTTCTGGAAGAGTTTTTTATAGACTCAGCATTATTCTTTCCTGAGGTGTTTTGTAGAATTTACCCAGGAAGCTGTTTAGGCCTGGAGTTGTCTTTGCAGGAAGATTTCTTTTTGAATTATAAATTCAACTTCTGTAATAAATACATAGCGGTCCAGGCTCCCTGTTTCTTTCTGAGCGAGGTTTAGTAGTTTGCAAGCAGGATCCGGGGCCATGCCAGCGCTCCTGTTTCTGACATCGGTAGTTTGTTGTCTTCTCTTTTTATTTTTTCCTGGTTAATTTGACTGATGGTTCTGCATTTTACCGACCTTCTCATGGAACCCTCATGAGAAAAGCTTCTCATGGAGCTTTTAGTTACATTAGTTCTCTTGTTTTTCCATTTCCTATTTCTTTGATTTCTGCTCCGGTCTGCTTATTATTTTCTTTTTTCTTATTTTAGGTTTCATTTGCTCTTATTTTTCTAGTTTATTAAGGTAGAATGTTTGCTCTTTGATTTGAGACCTTTCTTTTTCTAACATAGACATTTAGTGCTATACATTTCTAGGTACTACTTTTACTGTCTCCCAAACTTTGGTGTTTTTTTTTTTTTTCATTTTCAGCCAATTGTAAATACCTTCTAATTTCTCTTTTACTTTCTTCTTATTGGTTATTCAGAACTGCATTACTTAGCTTCCAAACATTGAGGGATTTTCTAGATATATTCCTGCTTTTAATTTATAATCTAGGGTCACATCGTAAGAGAAACTAGTTTGTATGACTTGAATCATTTTAAATTTGTAAAGTATTGTTTATGGACCAGAATATGGTGTATCTTGATAAATGTTCTGTGTGCAACTAAAAAGAATGCATATTCTACTTTCTTGAGGTGGGATGTTTTACAAGTGCCAATTAAGTCAAAGTAATTGATAGTGTTGTTTAATGCTCTGTATTCTATTGATTGAGGACAGAAGTCATCTCTCCACCCACTGTCCTCCACTCAGCTCTGAAATCTCTACATTTTTGCTTCCTTCTGCTCTCTTGCCCCCTCATGTGTCTTTAGTCATTAAATGCACCTCATTTTACCTTTTAAATCACAATGCATTTCTTCCGCTCCATCGCTACTGTCGCCGCCTGTTTTCTGCTCCAACCCACTGTTATGTGACATCTGAGATCACCTTCTAACTGATCTTACCTTCAGAATTTGTCATCCTTCATACCACTGCCAAGTTCAGATCCCACTTCCCAATCCCTTGTTCAAGTCGTTTGGTGTCTTCCTTCTGACCTGACAGAAGCCACACTCCTCAGCCTGAGTGGAGGAGGCATCGCGACGCAGAGGATCGAGGTGCAGCCGCTGCCGACCTGACTTCGCCTCCCGCCATCCTCCCTCCTGCACCGCTCCGCACTCTCTGCTCTGTATGCCGGGCTCCTTGTTTTTGCCTGTCTGTCTCTCCAGTGTTGGGGACCGAGGTTTGTCCAGTGTCCTCCCTTCTTATGGGTCCAAGAAGAGTTGTTCATTTTTCCGTCTCTTCAGCTTTTTACTTGTTAGGGCAAAGCAATGACTTCCGGCTCCTTACGCGTGGGACTGGAAGCCCCAGCGCTCTCTTTACTACATCGTGCTGTTCTTTGTAGACAGCAAGGAAAGATGTTATTATTGGTCTTCTCCTCTCA